ATCAATAAAAACGCAGCTTCTCCGCATCCTAAGGAGATGTTGACACTGACCTTTCATTATCTGTGTAATCTAAGATTAGCCATGATTAAACTGTTGTCCCTCCAAGTTAACTGGGCCATCTCCAAACCAAGATAAATCAGTTTTAATGTGTCGACACAGAGAACCTCGGCGGGAAAAAAAAAATTATACGCAAACTAGAAAAACGAGGTGTCATGTTCGTAGGCCTCGGCCAGACCCAGCACAAAATCACAGGCATTCGATCGTTGTTTTTGTCGCCACGGTTGGAGAAATGGAGCAATTCAGCGTCACTGAGGGTTACACGCATGTTCTGGGAGATTCTGCGAAACCCGATGCCCCTGGCGTGGGATGACGCCCTTTTTGGTCGCCGGCTCGTGGGCTGGTTTTCTCTGGAGCTCGGTGAACATGTGATATCTCTCTATAAAACCCTCAGAGATCCATCTTCCATCTGTTCATGGAAGATGTCCTTTTACGCTAGCTACGGTGTTAAGTCACATTTTCTTATGCGTAGGACTGTGCTCAGAGTTCAGGCCGGGTGGAAAATCGGACATCGCAGAAAGAAGGTGGGTTTTTTCCTGTTTTTTTCTCCTTTGGAGGCTTTGTCCTTCTTCATCCTGATAATCGGGCCACTTTATATGAACGGTTCAGGAAGTGTGCTGCGATTTTAACGCATCAGACCTGCTCTGATCCTGACAGTCGGCGGTATGTCAGCGACTTCACCATATACTCCTCTGTGGTTTGGTTTTTCTTCCTCTCTGTCTTTCCCTCCAAAAAGACTCGAGGTCCCTGGAGCCCCTGGACCTGGCCAGCCGCTTCCCCCGCGATCGCTGGGAGGAGGCCCTGCAGTTCTTCCTGAACAAGCAGAATGACTGACCCTCGGACAGGCCGATTCACAGTGTCGGGAATCACACCAAAGGGAAATGCACGTCTCCGCTTTCCACCTGGGCCTGGAGATATGTGGATCTGACTCTTTCCGTTACTTTGAGATATGCAGAGGTCAGGCTGAGACCCGTTGGGGACGGGATTTTGCCGCTCCGTGGACTGTAGACGGCTCTCGTTCCCACTGCTGCTGAAGATAACTGGTAATGAATCGTTTGTCTTTTGACAATAGGAAATCTTGGTTAAGATGGGCATTGTTGGGGAAAAAACTTTTACACACTGTTCTGCAACTTCATTATGAGATTGTATATACTTTAATACCAAAAACCAGTGATGTTCTGCTAAAACTTGGGATTTTTCTTGGATATGTATATTTGACTGTTTTTGTATTCATTTGTGTAATTTGCACAATTGGTGTGTGTTCACTGTTCATTTATTATGCTAGTAAATTCTGACAGTAGTGTGGTTGGTTTTCTTTGTTGAATATGCCCTGTTGTGTTAAATAACTTCAGTAAGTATAAATTATTTAGTTAACGTTTCTATAATAAAATAATTTATTACTGCACAGTGAAGCCTTGTTTGTTCCACTGTGAGAGGCCCGGCTGTAATTAACTTGCCACATCGGAACGGTGACACTGTCGGGACCATGTGGGTACCTTATGATGGGACCAATGAGTCGTGACCTTTTGGGGACCTGGGATGTCATGGGTGGGGGGGGCGGGGGGGACATCCAGGAAGCACAGGGCAGATATATTTCCCTCTTCACCTGCCCGACTACATCAGAGTTACACTTTCCGCTTTCTGGGCCATTGCAGTGAGACATTGTGAGTTTTTTTTATTTTTGTTAATAAGAAATGTTACTCTGTCCTGCATGGATGCCCCAGGGATTCTGATTATTTATGCTCCAACCAAAGCAGCTAAATGAAGTACCCAGGGCCATATATTGAGTTTTTTTAAGTCACAAAACAAAAACACATGAATAAGGAACACGAATTAAATGAACTGTAAACAATGAAACACCCACATGTAGACCGAGGCCTCCTCTTCGTAAGCAAAGCAGGACGGGGAGATTATCGCTCCTCTGAACTGCTTCTGAGAATTTACTGCCATTTCTGAAATTTTACAAAACGCATTTCATACTGTTCTTTAACCGGTTCCTGTCAAATGTTCGCCAGGTATAGATTGTAACCTATTTAACAAATTCAACAGTGATTTAGAATTTCTCCTCAAGGTTGTAAATATCATTCCCTGTCAGCTTCCAGCTGCCGATTTTTTTGGTATCGCTTTCCAACTTTATGGTCCTAACCTTTTGTTTATTATTATTATTATTAGTGTTGTTGCTGTTATTGTTTGTCGTTTTTTGTTTTTGTAAGAAAGAAGAAAGCTAATGTGAAAGTCGCCCCGTGAAAAGGCTGTGGAAGCAAAGTGTCTGCAGGAGTAGCAGCCGGCGCACTTTCTCTCTAAGAACGAATCTATATTTCATATAATTGGCGATGCCCCCCTCTAATTTATTATGGTAATAATACATCACTTCTATGTGCGGTGTGGGGGTTTATCCTTCGTTTTACCGCTGGGTAGCTCACCATGGAAGCCTCTTGGGAATGAGTTACCGCTGTGTTTGGGTTTGTTTTGTTCGATGATAATTTTAAGTACAGACACAATAGTTTTACAAAATATAAAACTTTTAAATAAATTCGTCAGACTTGTTTTATTGTAATGTATGCGTAATAAATGTTCTATATCCTGACTTCGGACGGCAGCAAACGCTCCAGCCACATCCAGTCACCCTAAAATAATAGAGCTGTAACCGAAAAGGGGAATTTGGAAACTATTTTACTGTTGGGTTTAGTGATACATAACTGAAATGTTTAGTTGGTTATTTATATTAGATCGGAGTCAAAATATTCTTTTGAAATAAAAGCTGGGATTGTTAACATTTTAACTGGCTTTATAGGTATATTTTTCGCTTGTACACTTTTGAAATTTTTAGAAACAACTGCTTTGATGGCTGTGCAAACCTGAATATAATTTTTAAAGGAAAAAAAATTGAAGGGGAAAGACTATAAAAACGAAAGCTAGTAATATGATTTCATTTAAGTTTGAATGAGTGGCCCATTCTGTGCGCGCGCTTTCTACTTATCAACAGTGTCGCAAGCGGATTGTGAAAACTACACTGGTGTAAATCATTAGGCTATCTGATTTACGCTTATTTTTATTTTTTTTAAGACAAATATTGTATTACCTACGGTATGTGTAAGAAATTTTGGTCATTTTAAGCATTCGATGGCTGTTTTTTTTTTTTTTAAAACAGTCGTAATCTAAATGCATGTCTCCTACATAAAAGTTTCAAGTTTATTTTATGTCAGTTGCAAGGACTATAACTTAATTTCAGTTGTATTTAATAGACACTGATTTGTCCTTAAGATGCCAATCGCTACGCGGCGATTTATGTCATTCACCGACTGTGCTCGCTGATTTAATTAATGACGCAGGTTAACTCGTATGAAATCCGATAGAACGGGGGCTAAAATGTCTGATGCATTTATTGGAAGTGCAACATCCTTTGTAAATTTGTATTATTTATATTCCTCAATGAGTAGGCAACTGCGTTGCGCAGTTGGCTACTCATTGATAAATGTCGCTGTTGCCAGTCATTATCTCCAGCTATCTGTATTGTTTTCTGTTATCTCCGAGTTTTGGTTTACGCACCGCCTGTTTAACTTTGGCCACGTTGTCTCCGATTTCATCTATTGTATTCGTACCTGTTATTTGAAACCTTTAATTATACATTGAATTCTTTCATTTGACAGCTTTACTTAATCTGTAAAAAAAAAAAAAAATACTCGAATTAGATGCTACGTTACAGGGCTTGTTAAAAGAGCCCCCGTGTTTTTAAACCTCGGTGATTCGGGTCTGTCTTCAGTTTCAACTAATGTATTAAATTCTTACAAAGTTTTCGAGGTTTTGCCGACATCCAGATTCCCTTCCCGTACAAATTGTGGTGGCCTGAAATGTGAAATGTCACGGCAGGCTGACCCGACTGCTATTCCCAGCCCTGACACCGACGCTATGAGAATAAAGCGCCGACACGCCAGCGTGTCTCTGCGCAATGAGCTTCCCTTTTAATACACTCGCTAGTGAAAGAAGTGCGTTTGCTGAAGCTTCATTCAATGTATCGTTTGCAGGTGATGCCAGCAGAGATAAGGAACCGCCAAACCTTGTCCTGTCTAGACTTGTAACTTAACAAGTGAAGCGGGATTTATCTCAAACCCGCCGGAGAAGACAACTTGGTGTATCGCTCAACCACCAAACGATTTGTACAATTATTAAAACTACTGTGAAAATGTGTTTACTTTAAAGAGGAAAAATCAACACATTGGCTGTTATGGTTGTATTACTTGCCAAAAATTCTAAACACAATGGTATTTGCTATTTTCAGATTGATTCGCATATAATTTTTTCGCTTAGCTTCCCCCCCCCCCAAAAAAAAATTGTAAGCATAGGCCTGTTTTATAAATCATCAGTATCTAATTGTGCAGGTATTAAATTTTGCAGTTTGGCATCACACCGTCAAGACGATATATGAAAAAATGCTCTAAATTTCTCTCTAATTTTCTAAAAATACGGGTGAGCTTGTCGAAGACACCCCGGTACAGATGTAGGCCTATTGACCGCTGAATCATAACCTCTGTCTCTTAAGTCTTTATTCGGTATATCCTTTATTCTTAGCTCCTGGTCTTCGAGAAAGTATTGCTCTTAAAGACAGTAGCCTGCTTACGAAAGGGGTTGGAATTGTTTAAAGACATGGAGTTTTTAGTAACAGTGAAACTTTCAAATAAAACATACCGATTCCCCGCAGATTCACATAAATATTAGATACAGGTCACGATGAACAACTAGCCACTTCATTCATATGACTTTTGGTCTGTTTCTTCATTTCGACGTGTAGACAATATATTACTCTTACGGGCATGTCAATGTTTTCTCGAGAAAGTAATTACAGATCGCGATTATTTGTATTTGTCGTTATTCGTTATTCAATCAGTCGGAAAACACAAGATTATTCGCTTAGATCTTTTTCATTCCAAAGCTCTCTCATGGGCTTCTCAGTAATTCAGTTTATTATTAATAATAATTATTATTACTATTATTATCATCAGTTTCTGATCTCTGTATGAACGGTTGTTCTCGCAATAAATAACAATAACTTACTTTTGTTCGAGAGGCACAAACAATATGTCCTCCGTCCATTAAGATAAAATATTTTACAACAAGAATATGTTTTATATCACCTTCGGAAATCATGCGCGTTAAGACAAACACGAGGATCTGGAGACTCAATAGCGAAATATATAAAAATGTGTAAGAAATGAGACACAATGATCACCAATGAATGAAAAACGCTCAGCACGGATAGAGTTAGTGGCTCCGAGTCAGCGTTAGGAAGACTGGTTTGTATATCCTTCATGATGTCTTCTGGGGTTGCAAACGCAGCTGGCGATGCGATTATGTTGAGTTATTTCTCCACCCAAATCCTCACAATGATGACTTGCGCGGTCTTCATTGAAGATAGCGTTCGCTTATGGGAGATCGCTAACAGTGCATCTTCCATGACAAATCCTCTGTAAAAGATCTCTGGGAGCTGGTCTGTCGTCATGCAGGGCATCAGGAGCATGCTGGCCAGGGACAATCTCGGTTAGCTTCACGTCTCCACGGGGCTGGGCACCATACTATTCGGAGTGTCCGGTAACTGCGACGACAGGGACGTCACATCGCTGCCCGAGGAGTTGCCCAGGGAGCCCGATTCTGAAAAAGACACCTGTGACATGGAAACGGTCCTTTAAAAGCAAAGAATATGGAATGTGAACTGGGGTTATACGTGCCGTTAAATAATAGGCCTACTGAACTTAAAGCAACGGCGTTTTACAGAGGTTTTAGTTTTTATTCAGCCGAAAATGTTGTAAACAGAATGATCCGAACTGCCCAAATGGCGGATCCGAACTGCCCAAATGAACGAAATGCCAGAGCAAAACGTCTAGAAAGGTAATGATGTGTTCAGTACAGGAGGACAGTCGTACTGGACTGGGTGAGTATAGAATGCTGTCTTAGATTTGCGCTATAAAATGCGTTTGCGTATTTCAAAACTGGAGGGGAAAAAATAAAAATTCACATATTCGCTTGATAAAGCTTTCGATGCTGCAGCTTAGTTGTAAAGTGGAGCGTTAATACTCACCAGTTGCTGGAAGGCGGGTTGATCCAAGTCACTTTGCAAGGCAAATTCACTTAAGGCTTTCCAAGGAGGCTGATAGGTTTGTACCTCCACCGGGTTACCTTGAAGCGTGTTGTCATGTCTAACCGGACTGCCTGCCACAAGAGGCGTACCCGTGAGGCCTTGCAGATTCTGGTAAAATATTTAAAAATGACTTATAAATACACACGAAAATATTACAAATATTTTTACATTTCAGAAACATATTGCATTGTAGATCAGTAATAGTATGTCTACTTTGTAATCGTAAACTTGTGAATCGCTCAAAAATAACTTCACGATATTTTTAAAATTCAAACAGTAAGACGAACGCGTCCCATATCTTAAACGATTAGGCATACTCTCACTCGGCCTGACTAAAATAAATGAAAATATCAGACGTGATCAAAATATCCGCCAAATGTTTTTCCATTCTCCTAGCGTTTATTTTGAGGATGAGCCGTCCAGTTTCTGAAGTTTCACCAAAAGCAGAAGTTCAGTCCAATAATAACGCTGTATCATACACCAGTCCAGAATTTACACCTCAGTTAGAGTTGCATGCAGTTTACAAAACATTTACCGTCTGGGAGAAATTTAATTTAGAATTGTGTCATAACATGCCTGTACAAATAGACCTATTAAGTTTAGCCTTCCTTCCTATATCAACAGCACGGCGCTAACAACGTTAAGGTCGTAGGTTAACATCCTAGAGAACACGCATGAACTGTATAATTTCCCTTCTACTGTAGGTCGCGTCAGATAAGTAGGCTATTATTTAACAATGAACAATAAAAGCGCTAAATGTAATTTTCCTTGAATGCAAACGATAAGATTCGTTGTGAAAAAAAATAGAATGACAGATTTACTTGCAAGCAGGTATTGCACACTGAGTAATGATAGGCTTGGGGTAATTAGGAAAACGCTTACGGTTTTGTCACAGTGCTGCTGCTGCTGGAGCTGCTTCATCAGAATGGACTTCTTCTTGTCCTTACAGCGTTTATTCTGGAACCAGACCCGTATGACTCGCGGACTCAGGCCCGTCATTTCCACTAGCTGCTCCTTCATCAGGGCGTCGGGTCTCGGGTTCGCGTTGTAGCACGTCCGGAGGGTGTGGAGCTGCTTTTCATTCAGCACCGTCCGTACGCGAGTGGTTTTCTCCGACTGCTTGTGGACGTGATTTCGATGGGGTGCTTGTCTAACCGATACTGGATCTGCTAAAAAAAAAAACACAATTTAAAACGTTCAGCGTTTTGTTTTAAAATGAGTTTAGAATAATTTCTACATAATACAACACGTTGTGTGACCTCTACTGTATCGTACTATCCAAGGAACTATTGGTGGTTATAGCAGCGGCAGTAGGCCCAATAACAACAGGTTTAAATAAAATAAGTATAGCGATATTAATAAAATATCAGTAATCGATGCATTGTTTAGCTAAAAGAGTCCCTTTTCCTAATTTATTTTTTAAAAGAATTTGGCGTATTTCACATAACTGTGATATCAATTTTATGTTGATTTTTATTTTAATTACTTTTCTTTTCAAATAATATTAATGAAATTGCCTCTGTGGAATGTAAGCATATTTTCTTTGTTATGCTATCATTGTATGCAAATGACGAAGAAAGCAACGAATTTTATAGTAAATATGAATAACTGGCATTATTTTGTTACCAACTGAATAAAAAAATAATTGACTGAAGTATGGCATTTGAAATGGCAACGGCAAACTCAGATTGTCTTACGAACTGTTCTTGAAAAACACCAGAGACCTCACTGAATAAAATGTTGAGCAAATCAGCTACACCGAATTACATATTTAACAAACTCATAAGATCTATTCAAACACAATGACAGCCAAACGACACGTGCTGAGGCTATAGCGAAACAACATTCCCATCCGTCTCGTTTTTCACTGCTGTGTACCTTTATCTGTGACCCCTTAGCGAAACAGCGCGTCGGATAAATCCGCCCGCATATATAACAGAAAACAGTTGTTGTGTTTGTGAATACCCCGTTAATGGCACTTAAAATGCATATGGCAGCTTACCCTTTGGTTAAAACTGAATTTAACTTGTCAGGTAATAATCTCAGTTAAATAAACATTAACATTCTAGAGGGAATTTCTTTTTTAATTCTGGTGTCGATTGTGTAAACAATGCCATTTAAATCAATGTTTTTACACACTTTAGCTCAAAGATAATATTCGTATTCGTATTGGTCTGTCCGTTTCGACAATATGTATTATTAGCACGATAAACAATATTTAGGCCTATTACAGTATCCATTTATTATAGAATCTGTACATTTATATAATCTATTAAACATTACTCATGTATGTCCGAATACAGAGGCCTATTTTAAATAGGTCTATAACTTATACTGAATGCAGACATGGAGAAAAGCTATAAACAAAGATTATAATTTTCTGGCCAGTGTTTAGTTTGAAGAGCTCTGAAATAAATCTGCAACATATATAAAATAACAGTTGACATTGTTTTTTCATGATTTCAAAACGCTGTCAATGCAAAAAAATGTCAGCCTATTACAACGATAGTAAGTAACGGGTGACCCTACCTGCCATGTGAAGTGACCTGTTGGAGTGAAGGTGCTCCGGGCTGATCGGGCTTCCGGCGGCGCTCCGCTCCAGCAATAAACCATAATCCGCCCGGCAGAGAAGCTCTTCATCCCGCAAAGAGAACTCGTCGCCTGGCAGAAGCTGCCTGCTGCACACCGAGCACCTGAAACACTCGATGTGATACACGCTGTCCCGGGCTCTCATGACTAAATCGCTGCTGCTGAAGCCAAGGTTACATTTAGCGCACTTGATGCCAAACAACCTGGAGAAAGATAAAATAGTCTGGTTTAGTATTTTACAGGCTTAGAAACCTTAATATCTGTATTCTGTTTAACATAAAACATTGTTGAGAAGTATATTTGTCAAATTGTTTTGACAAGACAAGACGCATATGCTTTGTTGCGTATCTATGAGAAATCTTAACTCTACAACGATACATTTTATTGTATAGCGGACATCAGCCAAAATAATAAAAGAGAAATATGTGGCGGGCTAGTGACTCATCTGGTTTGTTAAATTATGTGAATATATCAGAAAATAGTTACCATGTGTATGTTCCAAATGCACGTATGTAGAAATGTGATGTTACTGGACTAGTTCCATTGGTGGAAAAAAAACACGAGCGTGTATCTACCTTGCATAATCTCTTTTACAGTATGTTTTGCCGTCTCGAACAAAGCAAGTGCACGTTTCATCCAAGTACTGATTGCATTCCGCACACTTCAAACACGCAGCGTGCCACTCCAGGTCGGGCGAAACTCTCAGTATGTACTGGTCCTGTATCTGACTCCCACAGCCGACACACATAGCGATTGCAGGCTTCTCTGTTGGAAAGCAAAATATATCCGCTGAACCTCCAAAAGCTCCAAAATACAAAATAATTTTAACGAGTATTTATGTAGCATTCACGGTCAACAGAATTTGCAGTTTATTTCTATGCATGTTGCTAATAGAAATTTGTGTTTGCCTTGTCTTTGGTATTGGCAATAAAAACGTATATACCTGCCATATTCCTTTGATATCACAAAGGCGTATAATTAAATTATATAAATTTTCACCGCAGTTTCATTTTAAGTATTTTATTTCAAACAATTAGTGCACAGAATCCTCAGTGTCTCATTGAAAACAGCACGCAACTTCGTTGGAATAAAAATAACAAACAGATGAAAATGTACAATTTTACTTACTTTTGGAATGATCCCCCATATCACCCAAGAAAGAAGAATTCAAAATAATATCCACCATACAGGACGGATGAAGGAGAAAACGACAGATGCAGAAATGAAGAGGGAAGCCGCGTGCCCAGTCCCTTACTGCCTCATAACTTGTATCCTCAGAGCGGAGTACGGGTAAGACCCTGCAATGTCTCACATGCGGCATGACGTCACACGCACACTTGGACCCAGACGGGTCAATAGGGGGCAACAGTAGACCTGCCAAGTAATTGGTGAGGAGAGGAAAATTAATCTAATAAGTTTGTACTATTTAAGGAGTACATTTTTCGATTCATACTTTCCAAATAATAATAATAATAATACGACAGTAGTCAAAACACTTAATCTGCATACCCATTCTCGCTTCTACATGACATCTGTACTTTCAAAATTCAAAAACATATACACGCATCACACTTGTTAACATGTAGTATTGATGTACATGTCATTGGAAATTATGTGAACAATGGGTGACGTTAGTATTTGCTGCAAAGATTCCTGGCACATATTATTATTATTAGTCTAAGAATGTCAGAACCCATCGCACCCCTGGCATCGTTCTGGGAAAAAACGCCCCCTGCTGGGTGAAATATATATATCCATATTTCTCCGCTCCGGTCAAAAATCTCAGCATATTACTGAAGGCAAATCTTTTGCTTATTAAGCTGCTTCGAATAAGTTTTTATTCGAATAATAAAAAAAACTATAGGCTTACTAATAACAAAAAACCTCATTTTAATGTTACTATTGCAACGTGCATTTTTTTTCAGCGAATGTTCCTGCATCCAACATTTTGAACGCAGGTCAATAATTTCTAAACATAATTTTAAGACGAACCTTTTCAGACCTGTTTTTAACGTTGATCACAATGTAAGCATAATGATTAACACGGTCCGTATTCATTTCTAATATCCCTATCATATATGGGCATGTTTTCATGTCAATAATCTACAATACAGTAATATACCGACTGAAACGTGTCTGAATCATTAGATCCCATTTTCTTTTTTTTCGTTCTGTCTAGCCTATACTTGTCACGTTGACTCATTTCTGGATAGATATTAAATATCTCGAAGTGCAATTAATTTTATAAACGGCCTGGTAAATCAAATAAATGTTTTCACGTTTAAACACATGGAAATAAATTACATATACTAACCACTTTTGTTTCGAATTGCTTTGTTCAGTCACTTTTCATTTTGTATTTCCAAAAGGAAACTATTTGATGATGAAGCGTAAGAAATCCCACCATCACACCGGCAAATCAGTGGCGATAAATGTACGAGGAAATTGTTTTATTCGAAGGCTGTGAATTGTGTTACACGGATCACAGTTTAATTGGAACGTTGAAGTTTTTTCCATCTCACTTGCTCTCGTCACATTTATCGAAATCCGTGAATGGACTGGAAACACAGTGACACGCTATAACTCGTAAATCGTGACAGCAAATTTAAACGTTAAAATGACATGCGTTGGTGTTATACGGTTTAACACCGGATACGTTTAAACTCCCAATGCAAACCAATAAAAGATAACATCTTTCTGAGAAGTTGTAGTAGCGTATGTCTATTCACGGCCATATATTTATTAATAGATACGCTACAACAACAAATTCGGTGATTATGTTTATATGAAACAAAAGTAATACAGATTTTCATTCATAGGTTGAACTAAATGTTCGAGCTAAATCCTGAAATTAAAACGAATTTAAAATAATAAGTAAAACATTGAACCTAATCTTTGACGACGCTGTTTACTTATTAGCCAATTGTGGTAGGAAATAGCTTATGTAACAAATCACATAAAAATCACATAAAAATCACAAGTCGTACTTGCTATCAAAAACACAAGTAGGCCTATATTTAACTGTATACAGTTGGTATTAATTTTCACTTTAACATTTGGGTGGTTCTGGTGTCCATATTTCAGGCCGCAATCAAGTTAAGTTTAACCATAATGTGATTTTAATACATTTTTAAAACTTGTAGGGTATATGAAAACTTTATATCAAAACATAGTTGAGAAAGGTTTGCAGAGACAGTGTATAATAAATCCGATTGAAGTCACACAGATAACAACTACTATACAGATAACAAAATCAATAACATAAAATCAAATATTTATGAAATAGGTTTAGCTGTTTAGAGTGTTTAGCTTCTGACTACTTACAAACGTATTCTTATATAGCTTATATAGCTTGCTGTGCTTTCGCTCTCTCGCTCTCTCTCTCTTCCCCCTTTTTCCCGGATTTTAAACTCCATCCATCTTAGTATGTTGCCGCTGCTGTTGTTAATCACCGCCGTACTGGAAAGACGATGCTACTTTAGTTTATTCTCTACACGGTCAAAGGGCGATCACTCAATGCACAGGACAAGGACAATAAGACCACATTAATAAGTTAAAGCGATTAATGAAACCTACCCGATCTAGCGTATTTCAGCGCAATGCTATAGCCTACGTGAGCACGTAAGGAGCGCCTGGTGAGCCGCGCTGCACTTGCCAGATAAGCATAGCCGCTTCAGACAGACCGCAGCCAGGGGTGTTTGTCCGAACCAGAATTGGGTGCAAATGTAGAATACTATACTACTTCTTCGGTAATTTTAATTCAGTTCACTTAAACGCATTTCATGTATCTTGTGGAGCAGGATTTTAAATGAATTTGTAAAACCAATAGTACGGACAGTTTCATTATAAGAATTATAACCTGGCGCTAACATTTTTTTTGCATATTTTCTCAGTATTTAACAGATGACGTTCAAAACGTTCATAACCTCTGAATACTGTCGATTTATGAAGCTTAGCCCAGCACTCTTCTATGCCTAAAATAAATGTCTAGTTTCTGTACCTAATTGTAAGTGCAACTAAAGTAGTGTAAGTTGGCATCTTATAAATGAATAGAAATTCATTTTTGTAAAGAAAGATAAAACAAACAAAAACATCATATCAAATATAATGTGAAGATTTTTACTTAGTATTCTCGGCAGCCCATCCATCCATCCATCCATCCATCCAGCCGTCCGTCCGTCCATCCATCCATTCATCCTTCCATCTTCCACCCACTTATTCTGTACAGGGTCGCGAGGGCATGACGCCTGTCTCAGACATTTGAGCAAATTTGCTTGCGCAGTTGTAAGTAGGCCTGCACGGAGGCCCAGGCTCCGTGGGAACGCGGTGTCACACGGCCGGTGACTGGAAACACTACAGGAAAAACTTTTGGAAGATGGACTTTCGTTTACCTCGTTACACTACAGAAACAAAATAGAATGTCATATAAAAACACAATTTCACAATAATGTAATACGGCATCTATTTTGTACTCGCACTGTTCCAGTACTTTTGGGCAAGTTCATATCAGTCTGTTTGAATGTGAAATTCCTGTCTGTTACTAACACAGAACAAGTGACGCAAGTTTTAAATATCATAAAAATCTTATCTATTGAATATTTTAATATAGCTAATGTACTTTTCTGTGTTTAAAGTGATTAGCCGCATGTTTGATATATTTCTTTAACATATTAAAAAGAATTGACATTGTTATTATCTGTTGTCGCATGTTTTGCAATTTGTCATGTGTATAGAGCTGTCACCTTGGTGATCTAATGGTATTTAAATTGAATTACAATACATTACACGTATGTTGTGTATTACAACCCAACTTGTATTGACTAAAGCAGGATATTAGTCTCGGTGTTCCCGAATAGCTGAGTGCACTTCGCATGATCCATGTTTATATTGTAGATGCCGTCTTATTTTATCAGTAATCATCTTTGAAGAAACTCTTTTTGAAGTCAGTTTTTGGATTTGTTTTTTAAAGTTAACTTTGAATTTTTGCTTTGCTCTATATACGCAGGCTATTTTGGATTAAACTTACTAAATTTCCTTAGTTGTTTCTATAATCGTAAGAATGACATCGAAACAACAATCCACGTGTTACTTTAGTGCGCTGGAAGTCTTTTCTACTATAGAAGCACCGTTAATGTCACCAAGTGGATCCTCTTTCAGATATCTTTAAAATCATTGCTATTATTCATTGTTCCATCGATTTACTTTGGACATCATTTGACCTTTTATCTCTGTTGCAAATATTCTCTTTCTACGTACACTAAGGCTTTTTTCGTAACTGTTTCAAGCATAGGGTCAGTGACAGAGATTATGCGTCCAAGTGGACCGCACAAAATTCTGCGTGAATCTGTTCATTTATTCAGATTCTCTGAGCTCAAGGTTTATTCTGGATCAGCTTTCTTGACAGGTATTTCAGCTGCATATTTTTGCAAATTGTTCAGTTTATGTCGCATCACGAACGTTTGTTTGGGCGATTTGGATTTTCTCGCGCTCCACACTCCATAATGTTATTATCGGTACTGTCATTCATCTTGAACCATCCATATAGGCCTACATAACCGCGATTCCGCCCGCGTGTATTGTTTCGGCCTTACTATTGCTTTCCGATAGTTTTTATTTTCAGACATTGTGATATTGAAGCTTACCAGACCAGCTTTCTGTAAAGACTGCTTTGTTTTCTGATTTGTGGAAGGAAACTGACGGATTATTCATCGTTGTGCTGCCGGTCTTAATCGGGCCAATTCGATTTCATCGCATTCCAATCTGAAAAATTAGAAAAACGTGCGCGATGTTTATGCGTGCGCGTGCCCAGTAACGGGAATAGTCATGCCGTAGTTTCTCCGGTTTTCCTTCAAGGTAGCACGCACTGTAGAAGGGGCTGCTCTATGGTAATTAGATAGGACTTTCCCATGTCACACCAGTTTTACTTTAGCAGAAACATATATTTAACTTTTTTATATGTCCAAAAAAAAAACTATGGTGGAACGCAAGAAGCGTTTAATCGAATAGAAATGGATGGATGGATGTACCAAACATTAACAGAACGCGTCAAGGTAGCAAACTTTCTTGTGACTTTTGAGTTTGCACGTCTTACTTATCTTCGTCGGCTGTAATAGTAATAACAATGCTTAATATACAAGTACAAATTTATATACACTGCACCAAAATAAAACAAGTGATTCGTGTGATATTTTAATGAATGATCACGTGCTCTTATATGGACCTCGTAGTTGATGCTGTTTCAACTGGCAAAGGTCCGTGCGTTGTCTAGGTCTTGATACATAAACGTGGTGATTTTATTGGCTTGTCCTGATTTAATTTTCTTGCTGGCCTTCACTGTGTAACACCTGAGACCGCCAGTCATGCACTTTCGTAAACAAACAGGACGTCGCTCAGTAATAAACTATAAACCCATCCCTACAGCAATGGGAACAAAATAAAGATTAG